AAGGACTGTTGATCCTGTTGACTGGGTTGGGTGGGTTACTTAGGTAGATGTCTGATTTTGAAGGCTCTCAAGCAATCCAAACCTCAAGCTTAAAAGGGAGTGGAAAGAATAGGAGCATTTCAATTTGACCTGCTTTTGAACCCCAGTTCTTTCACTTGCTGGCCATATAATCTCAGTTTCCAAGTATTGTATAAAGCTTCCAACGTGGTTCCTTGCACCTAGTAAGCAGATGTCCAGTAAATGGTTGTCATTTTTATCCTTCTAAAAATAAATAATATCATAGGGATTTCAATGTGAAAGTAAGGCCAAGAAATAGGGTAGATGGTAGAACTAAAAGTGAGACTGAAGTCAAGAGTGAAATGAATGAAAAACCCAAGAAACAAACTCACTGCTGTGAAGTTGATTCGACTCATAGCGACCCTTCCTTGGATTTCCGAGGCAGTATCTCTATGGAAGTAGATTGCCCCGTCTTCTTTCCAAGGAGTAGCTGGTGGGTTTGAACTGCCAGCCTTCTGGTTGGCAGTCAAATGCCTTAGGCACTACACCACCAGAACTGAAGCTGAGAGCAGGCTTTAGCAGCTCATGTTGCTGTGCAAATTATATATCACAGTATCCATTCTACTTCCTGTCCTAGAAATTCATTTCAGCCAAACAAAGAACAATGCCAGCAAAGCAGAACTTTATAGGGACAGCAACCTCAGTTAACAAAAAAATTTGGAATGTCTGGAAACCTAATTGAGGATGTGATATCATCGTAAACAAATTGAAATAGAAACACAGCATTCTTTACTGGTTTGATTTACGGACAGAGAAGTATATTAGTTTCCTGTAGCTGCATTAACAAATTACTGCAAACTTGGTGGCTTAAAACAACAGAAATTTGTTCTCTCACAGTCTGGAGTACGCAAGTTCAACATCAGTTTCACTGGGCCAAAATCAAAGTATTAAAAGAGCTGTACATCCTCCAGGGGTTCTAAAGGAGAAGGTTTTTCTTACTTCTTCCAGCCTCTGGTAGCTGCCAGCATTTCACTTGTGACTGGATTTAGGATCTATCCAAACAATCCAGGATAATCTGCCCATCTCAAATCTTTAACTTAATCACATTTGCAAAGACA